TATTTTTCCTTGTTGACGAAAAATTAACCATAGTAAAAGTAAGATGTTTCCTAGATAGTACAAGTAGAAATGTCTTTTGAATTAAAAAAGCTAATGTTTCAATTATTAGTCACATGTTTTTCTTGAGATCCAAAAGACACTGTTCAGAGGTGATAAGTATTTGTTTAACCCCTTGCTTTTTACGAAGAAAAATGTTGCCGTTGGACGACCAGCAGTACTCGAAATTATTTTGCTTTGCAAATTCTCGAGATATATAGAAGAGTTTTCTAGAGCTTGCAGGAAGATAATCAGCCACGTATACGGCTTGTCGTTTTCCGGCTAAGTTGATCAACTCCGTGTTAAGCTTTTCTTCCATCGTTTTTTGTTGTTATTGAAATTACGCACGGAGGATAGAGTGTTAAGTTTCATTTGAACAGTGTGGAATTCGGCTACAATAGGGCGTACTGATCCTTGTTTACCCGGTAGGCGGTAAATATCTCGGAGATCCGTAGGTGAGATCGGGATTCCAACCGTGTTTCCAATTTTACAAACAGTGTCCGTAAGGTCTACGCTAGTCTCTTTATCTTTTAATGGAATATTTCTAACCTCTATGCAGGACGAACGAGATTTGAGTGTTAAATCCTGTACTTTATTTTCCAGGTTTTCTAGACATTTTCGTTGTTCCTGGCGTTCTTTTTCAGATTGTCTAGTCCTAATTTAATTTCTTCGTACTGTTTGTTTATAAAATTCATAGAACTTTCTATTTTGTCATTAGATTCTTGAATTTTGCTGGTTTGGGTTTTTAGTTCTAATATTTCAGTAGATAATTTTGAGACTAGGCTGTTATGTTTAGCGCACATATCATCTATTTTGGATTCCAATTCTAGTTTCCAGTTATTTAGCAACCCCATAATTTCCTGCTTGAGATCCTGTTCCTTTTGTCTGGGCGATGATTCGTCTGTGCGGGGCCTTTTATTTCGATTAGTTATGAAAGAAACATCACTTTGTTGCAGCGAGTTTAAATCCGTTTCAGACTGGGTATGTCCTATAGGTGACGGAGTAGCGGGAGGTGTACCCTGACGCGGCATGTTTCGAGTTTAATTGAGTAACCAGTCGACAATTTTTAGTTGATTGTCGTTGTTTGTCACCATTATGTCAACACCAAGCGAAGGATCAAGGATTATGTAAAGAATATTGTCTTGTCAACGTTGTTCTAAATTATATGCGTATTAAAAAATATATTTTAATACCGCTTAATAAAATACACATTTTAAAACAGTTTTACGGTTCCCACGGTATGCGAAAGCAAAGTTATCCGCGTGTATTTTCTTTGTCGACGTAGGTATATAAAGACAGATCCTACTGGGGAGTAGTTAGTCTTTGACACGTCGTCAATACGAACAGTCGTCTGTCGGTGGTCAGTTATTATTACCAAGTCGGTCGAAGTGACGAGGCGAGAGTGCGACTGCGATTGTGAATAATTTTTATTTAAGTTTTTAATTAATATTATAAGAGATTGCTTGTTAGAAATTACCAAAAAATTTAAAAAAAACAAAACTCACAATGGAGACGGAGAATTTAACGAAACAAGTAAGTTTATCAAAAAAATTAAAGAAAATTCCTGCCATCGCTTTTTGATCGTGTTATTTATTTACTATTTTCTCTTTAGAATGAGGAGATTGAAGCATTAAGGTTAAACTAGTCGCGGGCTCGAACTCAATCAAGGGCGTGGCCAAAAAGCGCGCTGTCTCATCTAACATCGTGTGCGACAGAAATAGTACCAGTGATGAGCAGTTAGACGCTATCTATTTGCACGACGTATTGTTCGCACGCACACAAACACAGCAAAACGTCACTGAACGGTGCATATATCTGTGCTGTGTGTGTTTACTCGTAATAAAGTCGTACGCGCTGCTACGATTTTACGATGCTCGCATGAATTTTAGTAATTATTGTCACAGGGCATTGTAATTACTGAATTTTTTATTTTTTTATGATAAGTTGATAACACAATATCCGAAGAATCTACGAAAGGGATATAATTCTGTAGGTAAACAGTTACTTTTTTTTCTAAGTACCAATAACTTTATGTACCTACTAAACCTAATAGGTACCTACAATATTAGTTGTATTTGTTTAGTTTTCGTAAAAGTAAAAGTATGTTTACTTGCTAAAAATAAAGTAAGAAACGTAATAAAAAGTATAGTTGACAACCCCAATCGAGTTCTCACGGAGCACGATAGCCACAAAATATAAAGGTACCTAGTTCTATGGTATAACTACATACAAAGCGCGCTCGAGCACGTAGGTATAAACAGTGAAGCAGGTACATACCTAAATGAGATTGACTTCTGTACCTATGTATTTTGTGCGAAAACATTCGGCTTGGCGGTTGCCCGTTGATATTATTTGCGGTAATCTACAACAATTTATTATAAAGAGCCTAAAGAGGTAAAGTTTGATTTATAATAAGCATGATCATTTCTTCTGTCTGGGTGTTTTTACCTAATTATAATAATATGTAAATATTTAGAAATATACCTCTAAGTATGTATATCTGTTGTCTAGTAGGTACTTACACATAACACAAGCTCTGCTTAGTTTGGGACTGGACAGGGTAGGTACCTACAGAGTTGTGTGATAGTTGTGGAATATTATTATTACTTAGGTATTATTAGGAAGGATGGCTAAACAAGCATACCGTAGGTACGTAAACGTAGTGTACCTGCTAGTAAAATATCAATTCGGTCCAGCCGAATTGAACATTGACCTGAACAAATAGAAAGACAGACAGACGGAAAAATACAAAAATAAATAAATTAAAAATGGGTTTAAAAACTATTTATTTGTTTTTTCTGTCTATCTGTTTTTCTGTTTGTTTTACGTAGGTACCTATGTCCAAAGGAATAAGTAGTTTTTTTTTACCTACTTATCGTGCAAATAGCCGTGTGAGTATGAAAAAATCTATGTAGGAAGGTATTTTAATATTTGGTACAAACTGACACTGCAATTTATTTACATTGTTTAGTATAGGTATATCGATTTTACGATAAATAATATAAGTATCGTACACCTCGCACTATAATACCTACGGACAGTTTACTTACAAGCTTTTATATAGGTAGGTATGTAGGTACTTACTCGTGGTTTCGTTGATAACTAACAATTATATTTTTGTTCAACTTACGTACCGCGAATAATACCTTTTTTTTTTTTTTTTTTTAAGGGAGGAAAATCATCGAATGACTGCTTCTGCCTGGGTGAGGCGGAAGGGAGTGTCAGACTCTTACTGACTAAAAACCACCCCGTTCCTTCTCCTGCACGTCGAGCCGGAGCCCCGGTTACCCGTTAGGTTCTCCGCGACTCCGAATCGGCATCGGCCCTATTGGGCCCCATCTATGGTGGTCTGATGGCTCTTTGAGGCGCGCGCGAAACGCGACGCGCCGTACGCTCGGGTCTGTTTCTGGTCGGACGGGGAGCCACCCATGCTCGCCGTCCGCAGGCCCGCGCTTACGGTGGCCGGAGATCGTCCCGCGATCCCCGACGCCCGGTGTGTCCTTCGCGATGGCTGGGTTGCGAGGAGGCAGCGCTTCGCTGCCTCACGCGTCCCGCCTCCTCCTTAGCTAGCATGACTGCTTCGCAAAAGGAGGAGACGGCATCCCAGTCCCCCTCGCTCCGCATCATGGCCTGCACTAGGCCCGGACGCGAGAGGTCGCCATCGCCGATCACTTCCCTGAGGGCACGGCGGTGCTCAGCCCACGTAGGGCATTCTCCCACTGTGTGTTCCACCGTGTCCTCAGGGCGGTCCTCGCAGTGATGACACCCGAGCGTTTCCTCCCGCCCCATCAGACACAGGTACCTCCCGAAACTTCCATGTCCGATGAGGACCTGCGTCAGGCGGTAGGTGAGGACGCCGTAGCGTCTCTCAAGCCACTCCTCAAAGAGGGGACTTACCGCTGCAATGGCAGCGAGCCCAGCCCTCGGTTGCGACAGTCGTTGCTGCCATTCCGCCATGAGATCGCGCCGGAGCTCATCCCGCCACGCACTTATCTGGCGCGGCAGCGGAGTTTCGCCCCGGCGACGTGCCTCCGCGCGCATGTTATACACGCGCGCGAGCACCTTCGCCTCCAGATCCCACGGCGGTAATCCGGCAAGGAGGTTCGCCGACTCCCCAGAGATCGTGCGGTATCCGCGGATCATTCGGATCGCCATGACCCTCTGTGACATGAGCAGCGTCCGAGCAGGACGCCGCAACAAGTTCGGCGCCCAAACAGGGGCGCCGTAGAGGGCCATGGACCGCACGCGAATAATACCTTAGTACCTACCTACCTAATAAATAGGGTACGATCGTGTCATCGTATAAAGGGCATCTTGTGTAGGTATAGACCTACTCCTATCCTACCTATCGACACCACACCACCGCACCGGTCGCAAAGCTCCAGTCGTAAGATAAGGGTAAGGAGAATAGTCTACACATACGATACAAACCACGTAGGCCACAGCAGCAGACTAAGTCGACCAAGTCCAAAACAAAAAACAATAGAAAATAGTCTAATGGTTTGCACGACACGCGCTGTCGTGCAAAAAATTGTGCAAAAAATTGTGCAAAAACGCGTGAGCGTCTTCCCTCCGCCCCGCGCCGCTGCCGGGGGAATTTTATCAAATGAAATGCACGATAATTCATCGTAAAACGAGTGCGTATAAAAGTACGATTTAGTGCTTTAGAAAATAGCGATTTTTGAAAAAACCACTGCTTAGATCAATTTGAAATAAATTTTATAGAACTCTCTGGTAATTGTGCTGTGTCGGTACGGTCTACGTTTTGGAGATTTTACACGATTAGTGGTACTTTTTAACACCCAAAGTTGCGTCAAAATTGTCATGAAAAACAAAACTTTGGTGGCTCATTACTTTTTAATCGTTATTTTTTATTTTTTTTTGTTTCCGTACCGACAAGTGTAATTACAAGATAAAACGTTGTCGTGTTTAATTTTGGAGGTACAAATTCACACTGTGGAGTAATACCGCCCCGAACTTTCTATGGAAAAAATATCGACTAGTGTAACCTTAAGTGCAATATACGGCGACGATTGGACCGTGGAGAGCGACAAAACGAGGTCGTATAGCATAAAAATATATGAAAAGAAATATGAAGTTGTTCTGTATGTGACTATGCCAGAGGATTACCCTTCGCAGTCACCACCCAGCTACGAGTTTTCTGCTCCATGGATGGACAGAAAAGACAAATCAGAGCTGCATCAAGCGTTAGACGAAATCTATTTGTAAGTATTAAATTGACTATGCCTTTGAAAAAACATTGCTCAATGTAACCTGTTGAGGTCACATCTTGTGGTATTTTTTCATATTTTCAAGTTTCAGCGAATAAGTCTACATTTATCAAAGTATATATAGATTTTAACAGTTGAATAAATTCAGTGCCAACATTATTTAATTGCTTATGCAGTAACTCTGTTATTATTAACAATTATACTTATTGTGATTTAAATTTATTTCAATTTCTTGTCATTTTCAACTGTAAAATTACTTGCTGTACAATAAGTTTATATCTATTTATTTCAGAGAGAACATAGGAAAATGTGTTGTGTTTCAATGGGTGGAGAAAATAAGAGAAGTACTACAGACTATAAAGCCAAAAAAGAGACAAAAAGTAAACAAAACAACTAAATCGAAATCACCTCCCACACTATCTTCAGATACATCATTGGTAAGATTTTACACTCATAACCTGCGTTCATAGTATACCTGAGAGTAGGTAGCTACTTTAGACTGAGAGTGCTGGACTTGGACCTCCCGTACGAAACAGTGTTTGCCATCTCTATATCTGGGAGGCTGCAGATTATACAGCAGAACCTCCTTAATTCGGATTAGTGGAGTGTTCAGATTATAGGGGTATAGATGAAAAGGGTATTTTTTGGGAATAAAACTACTTAATAGGTACATAAATAATACAAAGTCTGTATTCATCTATAAACATTACATATTTTTAATTTAAAAGGATCAGGTTTATCAGACAATGTTGCCGTTCAATCTCCATAAAATATTTAGTTCCTAAGAAAGCTCTAACAGTACTTGGCAGAACTTTCTGCCATCACCTCCTCTGCTTATTTACATGCCCATGAATTGAAAGTATTGGACTAAGGATTATTTCAATGTCTTGTAGTTAGAAGGCTCTTGTTATAAACCTAACTGTCTATGTGTAAATTGCAGGTACATAGTGACTGTCCAGAGATAACTCATGGAGAGGTTATCGTTGATAGAAAAAGTATATTCCAAGGTCATGCGGCAGAAGTCCACTCGATTGATGATGTAAAGTAAGTAAATATGTTCCTACCTACTGCAATTCTATGGTATATAGTTGAATATTTATCTTCTGATTTTGAGAATCTTATACTACCATATAAAGCTGAAGAGTTTGTTTGTTTGCTTGTTTGTTGGTTTGTTTGCTTGAACACACTAATCTCCAGAACTACCAGACCGATTTTTATAACTCTTTTTGCGTTGGATAGTCCATTTATCGAGGAAGGTTATAGGCTACAAAACACCACGCTACGATCAATAGGAGCCGAGCAGAGTGGTTGGAAGTAGCTAGTTCAATATAATATTATATTGATTTTGTCTCGTTCCTTAAGACGCGTTAAATTCATAAAATGGTTGTTAATAGTGCTCGATTGATTAATGGCCACACTTTTGATTACCTCTAGGTGATATAGTGGTCAAATGCAACCACTGATATTATAAATCTGAAATTGTATTTCTTCGGATGTTTGTCCATCAATCACGCTGAAAGACGGAGTTTGATGAAATTTGGTAAAAGACAGGAAACGAGTTGACTTAGGTGATAGCAAGCTTTTTATGCCGATTAAATGCTCCCATGGGATAAAACTGGAAACATATTCTACGCAGACGAAGTCGCGGGCAACAGCTAGTCAAATAGTTACTAGAATATTGAATTTGCAAAGTATTTTTTTTTAATGTTTGTTTTAAAAACCCATGTACAATGATGTGCTGATTACTAATCAACACCTTCAATTTTTAGCGCGGTCCTAACAAAACTGAAGATGAACAAGAAGATATGTAATGCGAAACACAATATGTATGCTTACCGCATAGAACGGAAGACAGGCAAAAGCAATTGCATTATTCAGGACTGTGATAACGATGGCGAGGCGCACGCTGGTGGCAGGATGTTACATCTAATGCAGATTTTAGATCAGAAGAATACTTTAGTTGTAGTGACTCGCTGGTAAGCAAATATTTTTAGTATTTTTTAGTGTACTATGGAACATTAGTTCTTTAAAGGGATATAGATAGGTGTTCATGTTGACCAGTTGTTATAATGTGAAGTGACAACATGTAGGTGGAGAGGCTAATGCCGTGTATAGAATTTTTGGTAATCGAAAATCTCCAATACTATAACAAAATTAAGATTCAAACCTGGGACCGTTTGATCGGTTGTGGCATTTTTTTTGTGATACGCCGCTAAACGAGCTTACGGATCACCTGATGGTAAGCACTCGGATTCAGAGATTGGGGAGAGCGGAGATCTTCCGGTTACCTCACTCACACGACGAAACACAAAGCAAGCGTTGTTTCACGTCAGTTTTCTGTGAGGCCATGGTATTATTAAATGAGATTATCTTAGGTCTTTCCCAAAATAAATGACTATTGCAATACTTATTAGTTATATCATGAAATATATTTACAATCATAATACATTACAGGTGGTCTTGACACAAATCGCTAATACTAGCTTGCAAAATCATTGCCTTCATTATAAATCTGAATTTAATAATAACTAATTAAAGATTAATTGAAGTAAATACTTTGATTTTGACTAATAATACTTAGGTACAGTCAATTAAATAACTACTATTTACTACATTAATGTACCGTCATGTATGTATATTCGTCAATTTGTTTCAGGTATGGTGGGATACAGCTAGGCCCTGACAGGTTTAGACATATCAATAATGCAACGAGACAGGCAATACAACAGGCAGGACTTTTAAAAAAATGACATTTAGCTTAGCAATAATATAAGGTATGTTGTAAATAACGATCTTGTCATATAGGGTGTATGTTGATAACAGAGAAAAGCCAGCCAGAAAAAGAGAAAATTAACAAAGGTTTGGCTGTATTCCGGAATTTAGTTCTGTTTAGTCCTTAGGCCTTAGTTAAACGTTAAAGCTATAATAGTAATAGACGAAAAAAAGTTAAATCTTTAGATTCCCATTAGCTAAAGTTTTAAAAACATCGCCTAATATTGCTCAACAAAAAAGTCAATAATGTGGACATACTAAATATAATTAGATATTTACAAAAAAAAACAATATACAATATGATTGTCCGTGCTACCTTCTATTATTTCGAGCACTATTATCCGTTGTTTTAACGGTAATGCACCTCTTGTAAAGCAATAATAATAATTGATATTGTTATTTATACAAATGATATTGTTGGAAATAAACAAATATAATTAATTTTTTTGTGCTTTCATTCATACCCATATCACAATTAGATAAAAATTATTTACCGACTTCAAAAAAAGGAGGAGGACTTCAAAAAGACTAAGTTCGGCTGATTGTTTTTTATTTGTTGGTTCGTGCAATACTCCTCCATGTGTGAACCTGTTTCCAAAATTCTTGTTTTGTTTGAAAGGGTCTCATTTCCATTCTAACTCCCGTGATGAGATGATGAGATGGGATCCTAGGGAAAACGAGAGGAACTTTCGAAAATTCTAGGGGCGAGTATTGCGTCTATTATGTTTTTCAATTAGGATTTTTAAACACTACAATTCAATAAGAGCCTGGAGTCGACAGTTGAGAGAACTCTTCAGCGGTTTATATTAACTACCTTGTGTTTAGGCTTGATTAATTTGTATTGACGAGGACTTAACATCTAGATAGAGTGGGGCTGTCAATAAGGGTCTGATGATGAAGAAGTGTAATTGTTAAGGGAACTCCTCAACGGTATACAGTAAAACTACCTGGTGTGTGGGCTTGTATTGATTAGAACTTTGCGCCTATGCAGATTATAAGTGACAAAACGGATCTATGTAGCTTTACACTGAAAATGATAAAAAAGGTAAAATAAAAACTGCGTTTAAAAACCGACTTCAAATAACCAAAAACTAAAAATAAACAAGAGTCAAAACTAAAAAGAAAAAAATAACTATCATTAGTCATATCATAATAATATAACTTAATTGCCACAAAATTGTAAATTAGGTATCTATTAAGGTTTTAATGAATAATTTTCAATAGAACTTATGGCGCCGACTTCTAACCTCAGTGGGTGGGTAGCCTATCAGAACTAATGATAGTTATTTTCTACTTCACAACTAAACCAAGCTAGATACTAAGTGACTTTTGTGATCGAAATTATTAGCTAACATCTGTCTGTTTGTTACAATATGTTTAAGTAATTTATTGTAATGTTTGTAATACCCACTTAATAATAATTAAATGTATCTATGATGAATAAAAATAAATATGTGTTTAAATAAAAGTATTTTTCATTACGCATCACTTTGTATCTGATAGTCTATACTTAAACATGATCAGGGAATTCAATCTCGAGATCTCGGCCTTTTGAGCGAGATTAATCTTGGGCGATGTCGTGGTGGCCCGGAGGTTTAAGACCTTGATGGCTTCTCATGCATGAGGGTGTGTGTTTGAAACCTACTAACGGCGAGTACCAATGTGACTTTTTCCGAGTTATATGTACTTTCTAAGATTATCTAGACACCACTGACAAACGGTGAAAGAAAACATCGTGAGTAAACCTGGGCTTATAATTTCTAATTATAAGTTTGCAATCGCCCACCCGCATTGAGCAAGCGTGGTGATTAATGCATAACCTTCTCCGTGTGAGAAGAGGCTTTGCTCAGCAGTGGGCATTTATAGGCAGTTGATGATGATGAATCTTGGGTGGCAAATGGCCGAAATCTCACGAGATTGCAGTCGTGTATACAAACGTTTTATTTAACTGATGTATGTACGTGGAGATTACCTACAGCAAACCTTTTCCTGTAGAAGGGATCCATAGTCCAATAACTGTACTGTACAGTAACATTTTAATATGGGTTACATGGGTCGTGACATTACCTATAGTCGTATTTTTAATTAGACGAAGTCGACTGACGTTTGCTGTGTTGTCAGTTTTTGATGAAATAAAAATAGTGTTGCGAAAAAGTGAATGATTGAAAAAGCAACTAAATGAATGAAATTGTCTCGATCGTCTAGTGAATTAATTGAAGTAGTTGAAACTACAGATGAGTAAAATATAAAAAAATTAGGTAGTTATGGATAATAAAAACAACGCTAATAACATCATTTGATTTTAATCATCATCAGATAAAAAATCATCGCTATCACTTTCGGTGACATTAATAATAAAGTTGTCTGACACATTGTCAATCATGTGGTCAAGGCCATACATTTTGTCTTCTTCTTTAATAACGTGAGACACGCAACTACTCCATTTTCTGCTGTGATGAGTTGAAGTCCTTCTTCAAACAGTTTTTTAACTTCTGGCATTTTAAAAGTTTTGTTATTTCTTGCCACATGTCCTTTGGCCTGCGCCCATACCAACTCAATAGGGGTTAAGCTCACAGTGGTATGGGGGCAGACGTAAAACCGTAATTCCATGGTGTGCTGCCATCTCGTCCACAACAAACTTTTCAGAATGTTGGTGTTTGTGCTGTCGTACAATGTCTATGAGTTAGCTTTGATCATTGTTGCTTCGAATGCGATATTTTTGCTTGTTAGCCACTCTTGTATTCTGGATTTAGTCCAAGACATTGTAGGCAGCGATTCCAGTTTCCTGGAGTGGTACGGGGCATTATCCATCACTACCACGGAATTTGGTTTGAGTTTTGGCAAGACCTCTCTGAACCACTTTTCGAAGGAATCGGCATTCATCTCTTGATGATAATCTTCTTTGTTTTTTGTGGCTTCAAATATTAATAGGCTGTCTTCTACGAACCCTTCTTCCCCGCCTATATGTCCGATAATTAAGCGTTTGCCCTTTCCTGAAGGTTGTTTTAAGCCAGTGGTCAAGCCATCGAGGAAGGCCTGGCGGGAGGTTAGCACTGTTTGGTCAATCCATACCTTCTTCGGGGCATGACCTTAAAAATAGAGAAAAATATCAATTAATTATTGAAAGTAGAGGGACCTTCTAAACACATGCCTGTAAATGTATGTACACGTTTATCTAAGTGGTTTGTCATGTTTGTTTGTAATTATTCCTAATTTATATTATTGTCACACAATCAGAATTTACAGTCTTATAAGAAACGCATGTAATCTGTGTTAAATACAGCGTCGGTAACGAATTGTAAGAACTTTTATCTGTGGCCACAAAACCTACAGAAAGTAAAATTTAAAATGAAGAAAACAAAATTGTAATTACCTTCGTTGATCCAGGTCTCATCTTGGTAATAAATATACCTTCCTTCTCTTCTATACTGTTTTATTTCTCGAAGGTATCGCTGGCGCCATAGAATAATATCCTGTCTGTCAATAAGAATGCTTTTTCTTGTCTTTGAAACGTATTTGAAATTCAAATGTTTCATAACATTTCTTAGTGTACTCCATGAAAAAGTCGGTAAATCTGGGTCTTCATTGACAACTTTAAGGATCTGTAAAGTAATAAAAATGTTTTTGAGTAAGGAAATCTATGCAATCTAATACTTTGGTTTTACAAAGAACATTATGGTGGACACAGAATATAATGCAGTAGACGGAATAAAGTTTATGTTACCTTTGCAATGGTGGGTGGCTCATTTGCATAAAAAAACTGATGAACTTTTCGCCTTATGGCAGTAAAAGTAAAATCATCTAATTTGTCTTTGAAATTGTATTTCGGTCCACGTTTCTCGGGTGATTTAAATTGTTCATTTTCTTTGTATTCTTTTAATACACTGTAAACCGAGGTCACACCAATTCCCAAAATGTCAGCTGTTTTCGAAACACATTCCTGTTTTTCGGGGGTTTCAAAAGGTAATAGAGAAGCAGCTTTCTCCTCAAATACGTGTTTATACACGTTCTGTACCATGAGCTTTTCGGTAACGCTTAACGAAACCCGTGGTCTCTTCCTTCTCGGAGACAAGCTTTGACTTGACGTGCTTGGTTGAGGATCCATATTGTTTAAAGGAAACAATGAACACAATAACCGCAAACACAACGAAACAAAAACTTAACACAAAACAACGTGAGCGCAGAAATAACAAAGTACGTGCTTTCAGACCAGAGGTTAGAAGCCGAATAACAATCAAAATGGCGACCGACGCGCGCGACGTCGATCGGTGTTGTCAGTACTCGCCGCGCCGCGCTTTACAATAAACTATCAAATATTGATACAATTTTATTAGAAATAGAAATAATATTCATTTATGTTTTGGAATGATTAAAATTATGAACTATTCACATTCATTGTTCATTCATTTGATTGAACGAGAACTGTAGCCATCACTATTACTTTAAATATGGCCACATTATTTTACAATTTGACATTAGCCATTGTCAGTTGACTTCGTCTAATTAAAAATACGACTATATATTTCCTTGGTTTGTATTTCTAACCTACATTATAAAATGTTGCGTCTGTTTTGCTAAAGATACATAGCATGCAAACTTATAGCCTAGACAGCGCGTTATATCGCGTCATAATAAATATCAAATAAGTAGATCGTGTCATACTATAATGTCAAATTAGTATTTTTGTACTATTTGTTGCTATTTCGAAACTACGTATTTGGGCAGTCATGACAACAATAATTGAATTACTGCTTACTGAGAAAACAACACGCTTGAACAATAGAGGACTGAGTGCTTCGCTACCGTGGGAAATGAGACCAAACATGTAAGCGACCAATCAGCGCTGGACTTTCAGGTTTGATAATTCCAAGTAAATTTTAACTGAAGGGCCAGTGATAAGACAACAGTGGTGGTTTTCGTGTAATTGGCATTGAATGCACTATTATTAATAATATTATTTACCTTTAAAAACCTAATT